ATAGTGCTCAGGGCCAGGGTCATATTTCAAGGGTTCTTTCAAGGAACCGCAAGACATTTCTTGGAATGATTATTGCAAAGTTACATTTGTCGCTTCTTTGGAATGCTTGTTCCACGGATTCTAATTCTGGAGTGTATAATTCTGGACCCGCATAAAAATAAATTCGATTGTGGTTTCAGAATACAGTATATTCTGCAGCTTTCACATTCGAGAATGTTCTTTTCAGAAGCGAACTGTACATGCAAAAAACCATTACCGTTTTCCTTGTCCCCTGATGATGAAGCACTGTATATTGAATTTTAAACTGACAACTTCTGCAAGAAATCCAGTAGTAATCAAACAAATCTCAGCGAGCTGTGTCATATTTTTTAGATAATCTGAAATCTCATATTTTCAGGCATGAGCGTCCAAAAAAATGAGAGCAACAGAAAGCAATCTAATGAGAGCAGTTGAATGACTTCAGCCTATTCAAATGAACGTTTTTCTTGGAGTGGAAAAACCCACAAACATCAGAAGAAAGATTGGATTTAATCATATATGAGATTTTTCTCTCGCCGTAGCGTTGGCTCATGATTAAAATTTTTACGATCAACTTTGAAAGAGTCTATAAAAAGGTTGTACAAATTATTGTGAGTGCAAGCCGCAATTTTTCTGTCAGAAAATCCAAGAAAAGTTGTCAGTGGCCTATGAAATTTAGTTACGCAATTATAGACAGCATAAGTTAGAGTGGTTAGACTGTGTCACTCTGGCTCGCTTATGTATATTTCCCCACCCACAATGTACAGTGGGCCCCCGACTTACGACGGGCCCATGTTACGTCAGTTTCAACTTACAAAATTTTTTGAAATAATAATAAACCCCCGACTTACGTCGGGGTTTCATGATACGACTCTTGATGTTGCTTGTGAAAATTACCCATGAGAGGAACTTAGTACCAATTCAGTGGACTGATGTCAAACAAGAACCAGAACACCTTGCTGCACCCTCAATTACTGTCTCTGAGCACTGCACAAGGTGTTCCTAATATCTAGTTTCCAGACGATTTAATGTCCTGCTACCTAAGGAATTCTTGTTTCCCCAATATGTCCAAAGTTGGATTCTCTTTGTACACCTGGACCACAAAAAACAGAACAGCTGGGTAACGCAAGTTATAGCAGTGACAAGCTTCTGTCCAAAAAAAAAAAAGAAACAGGGACAATGCCAAAGATATTTCTTGTGTATGTGGCAAAAAAATGCTAGAAGATTCAATCCATAATTGCAAAAAAATGTTCACCTGCACCAAAAGAAGTCGAGGCACTAAATTTGAAGTCTTTTCAAACAAAAATGTAAAAACGCGTGTTTTTAGAGCTAAGGTTGGATTGTTGGTCGCAGGCAGTGTGCTTGAGCACACTTCCCAGCATCTCCCAAGTTTTGCAACAAAAACTTCTAAAAATATTTTGTCAAAAAGGTCACACACAAATCCTGTCACAATAAATTTCCAGGAAATTTTGCGCAAAATTTGCCAAGATTGCACAAGACCAAGAAAAAAAAGAAACATAGACTCCTCAAACTTCCATGGTTTCTGGAAATTCAACCTGGCCCTCTTGTTGGCTCTTTCTTTTGAGAGCCTGTCATTCCTGAACGCATTTCTGTCTCAAAATTCTTTTCACTTCCACCCAAAATTATATGCATTGTGTCCTGCCCCCTATCACTTTTGTTTTATACAGTCTTTCAAACATGTCTTGTGTCTATTAATTCAATTTCTGACAAAAAGTTGAAATATAAAGGTAATTTTAGTTTAAAAATTTTTCTGGAACAAATTAATTTTTTTATAATGTAACCTTAAGGGAAATAGGGTTTCAACTTACAACGGCCCCATGTTATGACATCCATCCTGGAACGGATTGATGACATAAGATGAGGGCCCACTGTACATACAAATTAGCATTTATGTCTGTTTTATATCCATTCTTTCTGATATTTTTTCCTTGTATTCCGTTGTCTAACTTTATACGTTGCGGTGCATCAAAGCATTCTCCTCCTTCAAGATTTTTTCAATTTCTTGAGGCTTATATACAAAGCGTTTATTTAGGAATGGTTGTGTGTGCACACACAATCTTGGTGTGGCACGCAGACTTTTAAAATCAATATGTAGTCCTTCTATTTTCAAAATGTACACATTACATATCTTTGGCATGGAAGATATTTTTGCAAACTCAGATTTGCTGTGTTATATATGCAATGAAAAATCTGCACAAAATACAAACAGGAAAAATTGATCCAGTAATTATTACAGATTTTAAGCTGAAAAAATGCATTCTGGATGGAAGAGACTTTTGAGTGCTGACTGCTGAGGCAGTTACCCAGCCTCCAAGGGAATTCAACTCAAAGTGCAAATCAACATTTCTGGCTGCAAAAATGAAGAGAGCTGGAGCATCCTCAATCCTTGGGTGTTAAAAGAGGACTTCATTATTGCCTCATCACAGGTTTTATAAGGCACACGCAATCAGGAAATACAATCTTTGATTGTGGAATAAAAATTTGCTTCCAAAATGAAATAAAATCAGCAAAGAAAACATGCTTCACATATGGCGCAATTCACAACACACAAACTTCCAAGGCAAAGAACTCTGCAAATTTTATACTTAAAAAAGCCACAATCATTCAAATTAAAACATAGTATGTCTCTAAATTTTCTTTGATTGCACAAAAATTTATCTGACCAACAGATCTTGAGATATTCTCACTTTTCTGAACCTAACTTTTTCTTTGGTGATAAAAATCTGGAGAACCTTCATATGTCAGATTCTTAGCTCACTGATGCACAAGCTTCTGGCTTAAACAGTGACTTCAAAAGCGTTGTTCCTAAATGCATGAATGAATTTATTTCTGCAACAAGTAATGAGGCACATTCAAAAAACTACACAAAAGACATGGAATGAGGTTCTTCATTAATGGCAAATAAATCAAGCAGTAATGAATTACTGCTGGTCAATGCCTCAATGGTCAAAATCTGCATTGATTTTTACGATTCTCTTCATCAACATTAATGGCCAGTGCTGAAAATTATTGAAGTTGGGCTTGAATGAACTGACAGAGGGAAAATTTGCTGGGACAAGTTACTAAAAACTATTCCCTATAGGGATTTTATAGATCTGTGGTACCCAAAAATGGGCCCGATCTGGCTCACATAGACTTTTCCTCCATCCTACAAATGCTTCCCTGAAATTTTCTGCCATCACTAAGCAAAGTATATACTGTATTGAAAGATTAATTTTAAAATTTAAAATGTTGCCTCACAATTCAAAAATTCTATATTTAAATGGCTATGTTTATGATTCAATCCAATACACACAACAATGAATTAAAATCCGATTTTTTACAGAAGAAAATTTGGAATTGAAAAATTATTGTACATCGTGGCCCTCAAAGATTTTCCACCTCTGCAATGTGGCCCTTGCTGGCCTCAGAAATGTATTCATGTTGCTCTGCATGGCCACATCTCTGAGTTCTGCAGCACTGCATTGTGGACATATTTTCACAGCCGTTTTCTCTTGCTAGTCTGAATGTGCATTTCATGTTCTGTATATTCTTTTATCTTTTTCGAAAGCCTTTTTTGTTGTGGCATATTTCTCCATCACAGGTAGGAATCACCACAAAAAAAAACGTAAAAAATATCAACACAGAGAAGCTGCTCGTGAAAGGAAGGCGGGGACGAAGCAATGCATATAGGAATCGAAGCAGAAACGTTTTATTGTACGGTTCACGCATGACCCCAATGATGCTCGCAACTTACTTTTGCAAAGAACCGGCCAAGCAAATACTGCTGTATCTTATCATACCGAGAGCATTTCACTTTTCGCGGCCCATCGGCATGCATGCACAACAAAAAGGAAGTTCGGCGTCGGTCCACTTATTCCTGATGCTCTATTAAATAACGCCCTAGTCACGCCGATTCTCGCTTAAATCGCACACGTCAGTCGCCCTCGATAGGGCTCGGATTTTCATTCCTTTTGTCCCAGGGAATTGAGGTTCCCTATTTCGGGTTCTTCGAATCCTCTTGGAATCGGTCGACCTCGTTTCGCCTCGTTTCACAGACTCGAACGCTTATTCGTTTCAGGGAGAAAATGACTCCGTGGTCACGATTCGAGGTTGATGGGGATGACTCTTCGCTTTCCTCATTGTAGAGCGATCCCGCTCTTCGACCCCGAAAGCTGGAACAAGCCATTTCGGCGCAATTCACACGCGATGCAGTGTTGAAAATTAAAATTGAGCCGATGAGCAAAGAATAAATGAAATCCAACTATAACTGGAAGCAATATAATTGCGAAATGAGTGAAGCACGTGCGTCCATGAAAATTCTTCGGTGCTGATTTTTGTTCATTTATTGTATATCCGATTTATTCACCCATGGGAAAATTCGGAAATTATATCTGCAGCTAGCAATATACGTTCATCAGAAACCTAAAACCACGGAATAAAAGGGAAAATTGCGATTTTCTCAGCTTCACTTCGCATTGCGCAGTGAAGCATGAGGGTTGGTTCATAAGTTTTGGGACTTTATATAAATAGATCCGACCGAGTTTCAAAAATTCTCAAAACTTTATACTCGCATATTAGCACAACCATTTGGAAACACTTCAGTGCTGTTCAACATAGCCTTTTCCGAATTNAAGCTGCTCGTGAAAGGAAGGCGGGGACGAAGCAATGCATATAGGAATCGAAGCAGAAACGTTTTATTGTACGGTTCACGCATGACCCCAATGATGCTCGCAACTTACTTTTGCAAAGAACCGGCCAAGCAAATACTGCTGTATCTTATCATACCGAGAGCATTTCACTTTTCGCGGCCCATCGGCATGCATGCACAACAAAAAGGAAGTTCGGCGTCGGTCCACTTATTCCTGATGCTCTATTAAATAACGCCCTAGTCACGCCGATTCTCGCTTAAATCGCACACGTCAGTCGCCCTCGATAGGGCTCGGATTTTCATTCCTTTTGTCCCAGGGAATTGAGGTTCCCTATTTCGGGTTCTTCGAATCCTCTTGGAATCGGTCGACCTCGTTTCGCCTCGTTTCACAGACTCGAACGCTTATTCGTTTCAGGGAGAAAATGACTCCGTGGTCACGATTCGAGGTTGATGGGGATGACTCTTCGCTTTCCTCATTGTAGAGCGATCCCGCTCTTCGACCCCGAAAGCTGGAACAAGCCATTTCGGCGCAATTCACACGCGATGCAGTGTTGAAAATTAAAATTGAGCCGATGAGCAAAGAATAAATGAAATCCAACTATAACTGGAAGCAATATAATTGCGAAATGAGTGAAGCACGTGCGTCCATGAAAATTCTTCGGTGCTGATTTTTGTTCATTTATTGTATATCCGATTTATTCACCCATGGGAAAATTCGGAAATTATATCTGCAGCTAGCAATATACGTTCATCAGAAACCTAAAACCACGGAATAAAAGGGAAAATTGCGATTTTCTCAGCTTCACTTCGCATTGCGCAGTGAAGCATGAGGGTTGGTTCATAAGTTTTGGGACTTTATATAAATAGATCCGACCGAGTTTCAAAAATTCTCAAAACTTTATACTCGCATATTAGCACAACCATTTGGAAACACTTCAGTGCTGTTCAACATAGCCTTTTCCGAATTCGATGCATTTTTTAAATGCAATAAATCCAACTTTCAGAACAACACCAAAAATGAAGTTCTTTTGGGTGATTAAGCAACCTGTGACTTTTGGCTCTTCCTGACAGTGAAAATAATGACCAGAAAGGGATCGATTTTTAGAACAGGGTTTGCTTTCATTTCCACCGTCGAAAAGCAGCTTGATCAACTCTATAAAAAAATTCGAATGGCTGTAACACCATCGGGTCTATTTCAAGAAGTCTGAAACCTTGTGACCCAACCCTCGTATACATTACAGTATTTCAAAATCTAGATCCGTTGTTTTTCTTCAAGCTTTCGCCAAGGTAACGGTTTTTTGCAATCGAATTTAAGTCATTAAAGAAGCGATCGGGTTTTCTTTTTATTTTCTTCCCCTGGGGCCACTATATAGTGACTGCAATACGGCTATCGCTGCAAGCATCATATTTCATCAGACTTCCCAGAGTTTGAATAAAATTATACCTTTCTGCATTCTGGAAAGATAAGTGTAGAATTTTAACTTTGTTTCTGCTGACTGAATGTTCTTTGAATTCGGAGCACACTTTTTTATGACTCCCCCACCTGCTGTTGGGAATAAAAGGTCTCCACAGCATAAGATTGAATGGAAAGTGCATCTTTCAAGATAAAACTAAAATAAGGAATTGAAACACAAGAATTATCCTTGGATGAGGCTGAAAATCCCTGTAGAATTTGTTATCCAGAAGATTATAAAGATTTCCCAACAAATTGTATAGCAACAAGTTGCACACCAACAACTGGGATACCAACAACTTGAACACTTTTTTTAAAACTTTTTTGCACATAATGTTTTTTATTCATTCAGGCAGACACCAAGGTTCCCCAATCCAATCTGGAATGTTTTCTGCAGACAACTGAGGCCTACCAATAACAAACAGCAAGGTGGAGGGCTGGCACCCTGCCCGTCAGACTCAAATGGACCATCATCACCCCAACACCTACACAGCCATCCAAGCTTTAAGGCAGGAAGGAGCACTGCAATATGCAGCATTAATCTCCTGAGTTTCACAAAAGCCTGAAGCAGAAAGTTCACTGAAGACACTCACAGTGAATGATGAAATAAAGGGTTTAATTCAAGAATACAGCAAGGGGATGATAAGAGTCTCTTGTACAAACGTAGTAAACTTAAAATTTTAAATCGGACACTTAAAATAATAAAGAGAAAGAGGGTAAATAATAATGAGAAAGAGGGTCAAGGAGTAATAATAGTTACTGACTTAAAAGTAATAAATCATTTTTCCTCAGAACAAATTCCATCATTCATTCAAGCGTAGTTGTTTTCCTTTTGAGTCACAAAAAGTAAAAGGGTATGTTCACCTCTTAGAAAAAAGTTTAGAAAAAGTGTGCAAGTTGTCACAGTGTGCAAGTTATTCTCACTATTCCAGTTGTCACAGGCGGGTGTGAGTTGTCACTTGTCAGTGTGCAACTTTTTGCTATTCAAGTTTTTGCATAACCAATTATGAAGTACAGTATGTTTCAATTTTTCTGACAAGATAATGAAAATATGGACATTACTGTGACAGACAAAAAGCAACTCAGGAAACTCCTCTGAGGCACACTCCACACAATGAAGGGTCATTGATGACTGATCAGACTGAAGTGAACTGAAGTATCAAGAAATGAATAATATTTCATGAATTCTGTATTTGAAATTTAGCCCAGTACTTGGCAATTAATGTTCAATTTATGGAGGCATGTCATTGGCCCAGAAACAGATTTTGAAGATGTTGTGATGTTGAAGTAAAGTAATTTTGAAGAGGGATTAAAGTCTTTCAGCCTTCCCCAGAATGTATTTCTTTTAGGATATGATAAATTACAGCATCCCCCTGCCTAACAGACCTCCTGCATTTTTTTCCTAACAGACCAGCTTTGCAAGCAGTTTTTCCTCCTGCCCAACAGACAAAGTGGTTCCAAAAGGGTTTGGAAACACTGATTTGCCCATCTTGAACAGAAAGACTTTCTTGATAAATCCTATGTAGCTCAGGTTATTATTTTGGGGCATCAGGTGCGGACAAATGATTTGAAAAAGCATTAACATTTTGAATTGCTGGTTTTCAAAAGTAAGTGAGTGATTGATTGAGCTAAGATACCTTTGATGCAAAGTTCAGAATATAAGATAACTTATTACCAATTTGAAGTCCAGAAAATAATTTGCTTCCTCACTGAAATCACAGCAAAATAAAAAATGCCAGTTTATAACTCTTAATGCTTCATGTTAATGCTTTTTTCTTGATCTGTGTAGTTATTCTGAATTAAATTTAGAGAAAGTAAGCTGTATTTCAGCATCCTTGCTGTTAGATTTGTCAGTTTATGCTTGAAATAAACCTTGACAAGCTCGACTTTTGGTGTGGATGAAGCAGAGGAGGAATGATGCAGTATATGAGTCCTTCAGAAGATAAATGGCTTCAAATCTGCATTTACTAAACACATACAGTCAACCCCCATCTAATGTACCTCCCAACTAATGGATTTTTCTCCAGTGTACTGCCTCCAGCAGAGGTGGTTTCTCATCCTGTCTGATGTAGCAAATCCATCTAACATACTTTAGTCATATTAAAATATTTAGCATGTAAACCTAATAGGAAATTGAATTTGAATTTGTCTAGCATACTTTATTGCACAATTCAAGTGCGTTACACAGTGGTTGACTGTATATAACGTTTTTCTGCAATATGAAATCATTTGTATATGATTAACAATTCAAGATCGCATATTTCCTCTTGATACATCACTTCGGTATCTTGGTGGAAATTTGGCTCGGAAATTGTCAGATAAGTGTCAGTTTTAAATATTTTATGCATCCAAATGACCTCAACTTTAATTATTCAGCTCTGAAATGGATCAAATATTTGTTCAGTGGGTCTTCACATCACAGACTTACTACATTTCTTGATGCTGTGTAATGTTATACCAAATTTTCATTGTGCAAAAAATGATTTCCCTTGAAGTTAAATTTATATTTCACGTTTAAGGATACAAACGAATAAAACTGTGCATTTTTCCCAATTTTCAGCAAAACATTTTCAATATTAAATTAAGTATCAATAAATTTCATTTAATCCGTGATGGTTTTTGCTCTGAACTTTCTGAATTCCAAGCGTTTTATAGACAATAAGAGACCAAACACAAAACTATTCCTTACTATTTTAATTTTCCTAATTTTTTCAATAGTGGAGTTTTAGCTCAAAACTTGTTAAAATGCATGCCTTTTAGACCTAAAATTGCGTCTTGTTGAACTTGATTGTTAAGCTACTTAAGCAAGTAATTTTTCCTCCTTGACAAACTCTTGTGATGCGGATTTTTTGTGGCGCAGGTCTTTTATTGTTATGGGACGCACTGTTTACTGACTTTCAACTTGATCAATTAATTTTATAAACTGCATGTGAAAACGCAGTTTCAGGATTAGATATATACAAACCAGCAGCATAAATACACCCCATATCTCTATACTCACATAAAAGAACTCATTTCTGGAGAATTCTTCTTTCAGAATTTATCATGGGAGGAAAAATAAACATATCAAGAGTCCTTCTTATAAGATTTGTTTCAGGATAAAAGATTTTTAAAAATCAGAAAGAGCCGCGAGAAATGAAATGAAGACACGCAGAAATAGTGAAATGAGCACGGGTTTAACCTCCCATGCTCCTCTGATTTTTTTTTTTTTGCATTTCGTGACTTCGAAAATGGCATAACACATTTCCACAAACTGACAGCAGTGCAACAAACAAGATAATCGGCAGTCGAAATGGAACTCAGGAACATCAGTCTCGATCGGTATGTCGTCAAGCAGTTCCTTTTTTCATCGGTTTTCTCATGAAATCACACCTAGTCCACCGGTGCACTGAAAAGCATAATTTAATTCATGAAATCATTGAGCAGATTCAAATGAAATGGAATTGAAATCAGCAGCAGCAGCAGAAACAAGAATAACATCCAGAAATCTACGTTAACTCCATTTTTCCGCAGGTATACATATTGAAAACTTGAATTTCCCGAGTCGGTCTTTTTCTTTTCTCGAGGAATTGAGGAAACGATTCAACATTTTCATTTACCATTCTGGCACGTTAAGGTACGTGTCACAAGTGCCCGTGTCAATGTTGTAGACAAGGTCAGCGTTGCAAACATTCAACCTGGGTTCGACTCCGCCGATGCACACGTAGAACTGGGTGCAGCTCGTGTTGTGTGAGAACGTTGGGTTCGGGTTTTTCGGGGCTGCCCCGGGCAACGTTGAGGTGTCTACATCTGGGCACTCAAAGCCGTCGGGAAGACCTGCGAGGAAAAAAAATTAGAAAAATTTGGAATCAATTTCAAATTGGCGAGAAGGCAAGATCCAATTGAAGATACCGCAATAAATGTATTACGGTATTTTCTTGTCTCATTCTCACAATTTACTATTATTGGAGAAAGAAACATACTGTATATTTTTAATCCTCTAAAATTCTTTTTTTTCTCTTCAATGCTAACAACGACGATTGAAGAAGGGAGCAGACATGATAAAGAAGGAGATAAACATGACAGATAAGAATGTATAACTTTTGGTTCTGATGGAAAATTCCTGTTGAGGCTGAAATCTCTGAGAAATTTGACAAACCATGCGGCAAAAATCTATCTGATTCAACCACTTTCAATTGAATTACAGATCTCAATCTCTTTTCACCCAGCATATTTCATTTTTCCACTTCTTTCAACAACAAAAAATTAATCCTACTTTCAAAACAGTTTTTCTTACTTCAAGTATGAGAAACTTGTCCATTTTTCAACTGCCTCCTCAACGAAATGTTAAAAAATGTACGACGAAATCAGAAGCAAAGATTATGTTTATAATAGATCAAGCAAAATTTAATGTTCAGGAAATTGTTTTAGAATTTATAAGACGAAAATGTCTTTCTGAGTTCAACGAAGCCGCCGTCAATTAGCCGTTTTCGCCCGCAGATTCACCGCAATTCCATTATTGATTATGCATACGTAAAATTCGTTTATTAATTTGACGGGGTGCTCCTCATTCAAAAATTAGCAGTGAAGTTTGATCCGCGAGTTTTTCACCCTTTGAATAGTTATACTGAGATACGAAAGGGATAAATGCCAATAAGTTTCCGGGCGAAACCAAACGTTCAAAAATGCATCGAATTTTTCAGGGGACGTACGCTTCTTCTTCGTCTTGCAACCCTTTCGCTTGGCCTCGGATGGCCAAGTGCACTGGCCTATTTTTGAGCTGTAGTGGAGTGGAGGGGAACAATTAAGCAAGTTCCAAGTGCCATCAGTACACTCCACGTATTGGTCGCAAACCGTCGGATCCTGGTGCTCGTATCGACCATTTTGTCTCGGACAGACGCCATCTTCACTCTCCTGCGGCTCCTCTGCAAATATTGAAGTAGAGAATTTTATTGTCGATGTTGTTCCCACTCAAATATACCATATAATACAGTGAAATTCCGTGGCAAAAGCCATTTTTGCTTTTTTGGTGAAGCTGGAACACTGGACTATAGTGCAAATATTGAAGTAGAGAATTTTATTGTCGATGTTGTTCCCACTCAAATATACCATATAATACAGTGAAATTCCGTGGCAAAAGCCATTTTTGCTTTTTTGGTGAAGCTGGAACACTGGACTATAGTTCAATTTTTTCCAGTTTTCTGCCATATATCAAATGATTAAATAGCCAATGCACAGAAGCAAGGATTCGCCAGCAAGCATCTATCAAGCATACGATTTTATTCTGTATAAGGATATCTAATGAAAGGAGCTTAATACAAGCAGAACATATTTGTCAAAATAAACTCCGGGGGACCTGATAAAAAGTTGTTTCAAGAAAAAAAACTTGCTGCATTGAGATTCATGGTATCCAGCGCATTCTAGACTGAAATTATGTGGGAAATGGGTAGCATACAAACCGTGAAAAGCTTTTGAAACGAAAAATTTTAGGCATGTCATAATTTCTTATAGTCTCCCTGACGAAATCAAGAGGAAAATTTTTGAATATAAAGTTCTATCATGCTATGACATGCATATCCAACGTAATGATATTCCAGCCTAAGATGGGGTCACTAAAACGAGATTTATACAGCATTGCACCTTAGGAGAAACTTCTTAGACCAATGTTGAAAAATCTTGTTTTTATGAAATTCTTCCACGCTGAAAAACTCAGTATCATGAATTTTCAGCCCTGATTCTGTGCATAACCCATACGAATTATTTGATAAATGGCATAAAATAAAATAAAAATTTGTTGAAAAATCTTGTTTTTATGAAATTCTTCCACGCTGAAAAACTCAGTATCATGAATTTTCAGCCCTGATTCTGTGCATAACCCATACGAATTATTTGATAAATGGCATAAAATAAAATAAAAATTAAACTGGTCCAACATTCCAACTTCATCAAAGATATTATAATTTCTGTAAAGAAAAGTAAGCTTTCAAAAAACCCACATCATGACGTATTTCCTGGAATTTCATTCGTTTCCAAAGTACTTCACGGCATGTATTACCCATTTTCCACAAAATTGCAGTCTAAATTGTGCTGGATACCATGAAACGCAACATTTCAAAAAACCCACATCATGACGTATTTCCTGGAATTTCATTCGTTTCCAAAGTACTTCACGGCATGTATTACCCATTTTCCACAAAATTGCAGTCTAAATTGTGCTGGATACCATGAAACGCAACAAGACAAGTTTTACTTGAAAACATTTTCATCAGGGCCCTGGGACTTTATTGTAAAAAAGATTTTTCTGCTTGTAATAAACACCTTTCTTTAAAATAAATTATCCAGAAGAAAATCTTATGCTTGATGGCCTCTTTGGTTCGCAGTACAAGTCTGCTATTGCTCCCAGCAAAATCATTTCTTCACATCAAATTGTCCGAAATATAATTTTGAAAAGTTTCGCCATTGCTTTTGAACAGTAAGAACATAAGATTGCTCCTAAATTAAATAATTATGTTGGGGTAGGAAGAAATCAAGCTGAATTTTGCAGTATTAGTAGAATCAACGGATTCCTCTGACACTGAATAAATTGAGCGGTGCACCAATGTAGAATGAATTTAACATTCGTGTTATATCCGTAGAAGAAAATAATTTGAATTTCGTCGCAATAGTCAGGCAGTTTTGCTGAATAAAATGGCGTAATTTAATCAATTAAATGATGCGATCATGACGTTTTCCTACAGTTAAAAAAAATTTAAAAAGTGTCCACAGTACAATTGCAGTCCGTGAAAATATGTTTCGACACTCTTGAACATAAACTGATGAGGTTTAAAAGTTCTTGGTTGTAGTTCGTACCTTTCCAAAACTTTCCGGGGCGCTCCAAAAATAAATTAAGATAAAAAAGTTCATTTTTTCCGTTTCGCATGTATAAATCAATTTGGGCAATTTTTTCACGGTCTTCGAACGTAGCAAAGAAATTACCCCCTCTCCCAATGAGATATCATCGTAAAAGTATTTTGCATTCGAAGCGTACGAAAGGTTTTGAAATTAGGCTATGTTCGTACATTTGAAGAATTACTCACGAAGACGAGTTCGGTTTCCGCAGTTGACTTTGTTGAAGGGCTCGTCACACTTGGTGCCGTGGAAAGCCCGCTTCGTGTCGAATA